GCCTGACTGAGCTGCTGTGAACCTTCCAGAACATGGCTTCAACCTCCTTCCTGGCATCTCATGACCCTCCCAGCCAATGTCAGCGTCCAGGGTGTGCCTCACCCCACACCATGCAGCTGAGGTCACTGGCAGGTCTGTCCTTCTGGGGCTGCATCAGGTCTAGAGCCACAGTCCCCACTCTCACCAGCTCGTGTTCCCATGGGGAAGGGGCCAGAGAGGACAGACACCAAATGGGTGAGTAAACACAGACATGGGAAACCTTGCAGAGGGGCGGGGGGTGGCAAGGGTGGGGAGTAGGGGTGGGGTAAGGGGTGGGCAGGCAGCCTGCAGTTGCTGGGGAGAGACTAGGAGAGAGCCTGGTGTGGCCAGACCTTATCTTGCAGCCGAGGAAACAGGCACATGGAGACGTCAGGCGCATGTCAGGGCTCCAGGGAGGTGACGGCAGGAGGCCAGGGCCTCGGGTGGACTCACCAGTCACCCAGCCCTGGCTGACCTGCCGGTCCTCCCGTCTAGAGGCAGGGACACAAACACCTCTTTGTCTCACTGACCTTCGGCCCGGCGCCTCCCCAGCCCACACAGCCCCGTGTCCTCAAAGGAGGGACACAGGCGGCAGCCCAGCCAGGGCGTGGCAGTCCTGGGCGGCTGCCCTGAGGGGTGGTGTGCCTCAGTGCACAGGGGTTCGGGTGATGGCAGTGGACTCAGGAGAGGGGGCCGAGAACACCTGGGTAGGTGCTGAGTGTGTGTCTGTTCACACATTTGGCTACAAAATGTCTTTGTTTTCTGAAATTAAAGCAGAGTGGTTTCTTCCCCCTCCAGGCTAGCTGGGGGAGGCCTGGCAGTCCCCCTGGACTGAGTCACTGGAGCCTCAGGGTTGCAGCTCCACTCCCCTGCCCCTGGGCTTGGCTGCAGCAAGGGACCCTTCCTGGCAGTGGTGTCCTAACCCACAGGGGAGCCGCTGCCTTGCACATCTGCCTTGGGAGGCAGCCTCCTTGGTCACTGTCCTGAGACTTTGATGACTGGTCACCCGAAGAGGCTGCAGCCTGAATCCTGGGAGGACCATGGGTCTCATACCTCACCCCGCAAGGCCACTCAGCTTGTTGCAACCCATCGGCTCTGGGGCTGTGTCCTCAGGATCTTGTTGCCACTGTCACGAGCAGGCTCCCCTCCTCCCAATCCAGGAAGGTTCTGGATGAACGGCTTGGCAGCCCCCCAGGCAGCAGGCAAGTGGGCTGCCAAAGTTTCCTCTGCGGCTTGGGTGGAGCTGGGACTCTTAAGGACAAGAGTCCTGTCCACCTTGGGCGTGTCTTCCAGGAGGCGTTCCCCTGGGACTTGGCTGCCTGCCACAGGCCTAAGGAACCAATGAGGGCGGCCTCATGGGAAGGGAGGGTCTTCTGCTGGGTCATGCCTGCCTGGGAGGGGGGCCGCTGCGAGCCAGGAAGATGGCTGAGTGAGGCACAAGCAGGGTTTCCAGTTCACACACGATGGAGCCCTTTCAGTGAGGTGGCCAGGAGAGGTAGGGTGGGCGGGTGTCAGGGGCACTGCCTTGCTGGGGGCCATCCCTCCTCAGGCTCTCGCGCACCCCATGGCGCACCCCTGTGAGTGGACCGCTTCCAGTCCCTCAGTCTACAGGCCTGGCCCTCCTTCCTGGCAGCTCTAGGTCCAGCTTGGCTCTCCCTGCTTGGCCCTCCAGCCTCTGGTGGTGGCTCTTATAGTGTGGCCTTGCTGGAGGTGTGATCCCCCCAACCCCACCCCAGGGCTGTTCATCCCTATGGCAGGAGGCACTAACTCTGATGAAGTTTTTGGCTTGCCGACTGGAACCACCTTGCCCCTTCAAGGGAGTATGTTCATGACTTTGGGGTCTCCAACACGCTGCAGGCAGCACTCTTCCCTGGGAAGAAACCAGACCCCTGCACTCTTTATAGCCTTCCACTTCCAGTTAATACCCTTTCCACCTCTTCCAGGAAGCCTCCCTGGACTTCTCAACCACCCAATCATATTTGGCCAGTGCTTCCTGGTTGTGGTAACGCTGGGCAGTGGCCCACACCCTGGAGTGGTGGACCTGGGTGGGCATGGTTTGTGTCCATCTCCTGCTACTGGGCTGGGAGCACAGGTCTGTAGCTTCTTTGCACCCCAGCACCTAGCAGGCACCTGGTGGATGTTTAAATGATAGTGTCTACCCCAAAGCTTGACTGTTCCCCTAGCCCACAAATTAGCGAGTGCCCTTCGTGTACTTCTCCATCCAGTAATCCAAGGGATTCCTTGTCATTTACTAATGGTCTGAAAGAGCGTGCTGACCCAGACGTAGCTCCTCCCTGGTCTCTTTCAATAGCACCGAGGACATGTTGACAGGCTCTTCATGAATCACAAAAACTGCTGTCATTTCAGTATTACAAGGCACAAGCATGGTTTCCAGTTCCAATTCACACACGATGGAGACAGAAGCCCACACTGCAGCAGAGAGGCGACACATAGCCTCTTGTCCTTAGGGTACGGCCCTGGCCCATCTGGCTTCCTTGGTTGGAGGGTTGAGGGGCTCAGCAGTGAGACCAAGGTGGGTATGCCCATCTGTCCTGCGGGCTCCCCTCCTGCCATGTGGCCCAGGAGTGTGGGCACATTTGATCATCCCGAGCTCCTAGGGGACCAGGTGGGTTTCAGGCAAGATCCCATGGGGCAATGCCCAAGCCCTGACAGAAGATGCAGCAGAGGAAAGGCTCTCTGGACCCTAAGGAGTTAAACATTCTGTGACGCTGTCTAAAGATTGGAGATTTTCCAGTCATTTATTCAGCAAGTATTTGTTGAAGGCCTTTGATGAGCCAGGGCTGAGGACACTTTCAAAAAGCAATTCATCCAAGAGACATGTGAGTACTCGTGCCTGCCAGGCCAGGAGGCCACACAGATGAAGAGGCAGGTTTTGCCTTGAAAGGCACTGCAGCCTGGCGGGGGAGAGTCAGCCAGGCCGTGAGAACTATTCATAGAAAGGGCGCAGGTGCAGAAGATGCTCTGGGGCTCGGGGACGTGCAGCAAGGGCTGAGGATGACGCACCAAACCAGGGCCGCAAGCAGCAAAGTCATCTGATGACCTTCCCCTCCGCTGGGCACTCAGGGGCACCCAGCTTCATGTCGAGATCCCCAGAGGACTGAAGCAGGACAGACACACAGAGGAAGAGGGAGAAAGAAGGGAGAGGACTAGCAACATTTATCCAGAAAACAGGCAGTTACAGGAAAATAGCTCCAGGACTGTGACCACAGAGTGAGGACCAGAGACATAGAGGCTTGCAGGGCACTAAGTGCTTCTCAAACTGGGGTCACAGGTCGCTGGCAGGTCTGGAAAGACCTGTTAAGTCCTAAGAGGGGGAAAGAGCTTCCCTTCACTTTGATGTTAATGTAGGAAGATACATTTTTGCAATTACAATTTATAACTGGAAGTCATCTGGGCAGAATAAGACATTCATTCATTTAAGATTTTTTTCTCTTAAAAAGGATGGCTGTTATACTGATGCAGTAGCTTTGGGATATAATACCAAAGATGAATGCTTTATGCAGCAAGCAGCTGAATCCTTCAAACTGCAGTGCTAAGTACCACCCATTTTTTGTTTTTGTCACCCAGGTTGGAGTGCAGTGGCACAATCACAGCTCACTGCAGCCTCAACCTTCAGGGCTCAGGCAATCCGTCCACCTTAACCTTCTGAGTAGCTGGGACTACAGGCCGTGCCACCATGCCAAGCAAATTTTTTATAGAGACAGGGTCTTGCTATGTTGCCTAAGCTGGTCTCAAACTCCTGGGCACAAGAAATCCTCCCACCTTGACCTCCCAAAGTACTAGGATCATGGGCATGAGCCACTGCTCCTGGTCAAATATTTATTAAAAGGTTCATTTTCTTCAGTGAGCTATGATCACACTATGGCACTGCAGCCTGGGTGACAGAGCAAGACCTTGTCTCTAAAAAAAAATTCAAATTTTCCGAACACATCCAAAAATAAATGTTTCTTTTTAACCTGTACAAGTTGCTTCTTTTTGCTCTGAGTCTGTGTGGCTGAACAGGCTGCCTCTGCTGCTGTTTGGACCACTTGGAAGATTCAAGCAGGCCAAGAGAAGACGATTCAAGCAGGCCAAGAGAAGATGACAGAAAAACAGGAGGCTGGGCGCAGTGGCTCATGCCTATAATTCCAGCACTTTGGGAAGCCTGAGCCCATGGGTTCGAGACCAGCCTGGGCAACTTGGCAAGATCTCATCTCTACAATTAATCAAGAAAAATTAGCCAGGTGTGATGGTGCATGCCTGCGGCTCCAGCTATTTGGAAGGCTGAGGCAGACAGATCACCTGAGCCCAGCAGGTCAAGGATGCAGTAGCTGTGAGCGTGTCACTGCCCTCCAGCCAGGGCAACAGAGTGAGACTCTTACTCAAAAAAAATTAAAAAATAAAAAAACAACAGGAAAGGGCTAGAAACAGAAAAAAGCTTCTGCTGTCATGCAATAGATTTACAAGACAGGTAGAGCGACAACTACCCAAAGTGAACTGGTGCATCCGTGGGGCAAGTAGGCAGGCTGGGAGGGAATGAAGGCTTGGGGTCAGAACAAACTCTGGAAGGGCTAAATGGTCAGAAATCCAGCACATGTCTCAGAGCAGTGAAGATGAGTTTCCCAGCACACTCCTCAACTCAAAACTCTTCTCTGGGGAGAGGATCTTTCCAGAACTATGTCCCAGGGTTTCTTCTCCTTTCCATAAAGGTCAACTCCTACTCATATCCTCCTGGGGTAGCAGAGCATGAGGCAAAGACCACCACCCCCACACACTTCTAGGCCATCTAGACGGGAGCAGAGACCTGGTACCCTGGGCCTGGCCCATGTACACTACCATCACCTCCTTATGCCACTACTACCAACTGGAGCCAAGGAACCCGCCTTTCCCCATGGCTGGCCCACACTGGTAAGAAAGGGCTCCTCACCCAAGTCAGTCCACAAAGGTGACAGTACACAAGGAACACACGTCTCACACTCTCAGCCTTTCTCCACTGCAAAGATAAGCTAAGAGATTTATTTCACTAATTAAGGGTAACTAGAATGTATATCTCAAAACAACATTGAATTATTTAAGACATACTATTACAATAATCATATAGTTAATAGAGAGGGCACAAGAACACACACGCTGGTAAAACAACTGTATTACACGTCACAATCAATGGCAAGTATTTCTTGTTATTCTTAAAAGAAAAATACCTGACCAGTTAAAAGCTAAAAAGTTTGCACATACATGATGAGCTTACACCCTCAAAAACCAGGTAAAAACTGGCAAAGTAAAGCAAATGAGAAAACTGGTTAAACTTCTCAAGCATACTAAATCATATCAAATGTATAGGCATTTTATTTAGCAAAATAAAGCATTAAAACTTTTTTGTAGACATATTCAATGCACTTATTTTAATAACTACTTCATTACAGGTTAACTGTCTTTAACCTAACTGGATAAAGAATGACCTGAAAGCAATACTGACTGAATAGAAGGTAAAGAAAGCAAACATTCCCAGCCATTTTTTGTACGAACATGGATTATACCATTTAATGCAGACCCAAGGCCACACTTTTGGGGAGTAGGTTTTACTTGCAGTTCAGATTCTCTCCATGTAAGATCACAAAAATACAATACAGTATGATGAGCCCAATTTAAAAATTACATGCGGCAACCCATATTAACACAAACAGCTCCCAGTAAGGGACAAGAAAAGCTAAATCTGATATCAGTAGGGTTCATTACAGGAGAATAATCCGGTACAAGGAACTATAACAGGTTGAAAATAGAAACAAAACCATGCTCGACTGTCACTAAAGGTCAATCTGATCATTTCAATGACCAAAAAGTAATCTACATAAAAAATTCAAAATGACTGTGGAAGAGTCCAGCATCTTGTACTCACACGATGATCCGAGCTCAGCAGGGTGCAACTTGTCAAGGCATACAAAACAATTTCCTCTTGGAGGAGAACGACGGGGAAATCTACTTTCAAGGAACAGTATATACTCTGAAAGGGATTGCTGACATTCAACTTTCCAAAATGAAATTAAACTTAGTAGTAGAACCTGGTGAAGAGTACGCCTGAAGTAATTATAGTGTAACCTTGATTTCCCAGTGGTATTATTAAGACAGGGCTCTAATTTAAAAATTCTTCAAGATTAAAGAGCACTCTAAAATTATGATACAGAAAAGCAATCCTAAAACTACGTTAGCCAAAATGAGAATTCCAATGACCCGCACTGAGAGTCCACAGTTGCCAAGAGCTGGACTGACAGTCAAAGGGGCTCACTGCCCAAAGACCCCAACTGCCCTTTGACCTCTCTACCTACTGGGTTCAGAGCATTTCCAGTAGGAAAAAAAAGGTATCCAGGGCATTTAATGATTGGGCAATACTGAGAGGCAAAGTGAAGATTTGTTTAGCGCTGTGCTTAGGTATTTAAGGCTATTCCTTTGTCTATCATACTTCTATCTGTTTAAAGTGACAATTTCCCTACAGGAAGTTACAAAATTAGTATCTCTGAAAGAGAATAACTACCATGGAGTTCAAAAGATGTGTGCTAATAAGAGTATTTTATGAAAGGTGACGTCCTTGTGAAAGGTAGAGCAGTCTGTTATAACACTGGGGCCAACATGTTATCAAGGCACTTCAGAATTTTGGGAAATTCTTTTGTTTGCAGTAACAGGCAACTGTAAAACAGGGTCCTCCGAAAGTATTTACAGAAATAGACACCCTCCAACAGAAGAAAAAAACATCATGTACGATAGACTTTAATGGCTCTTTCAGGCAACAGAGAAATATCCACATGCCAGTAACATGAGCTATGGAGTTCAGCAGGTACCCAGAGCAAGCCTTTAATTCCAAGCAGGTTTTACTAATCAGTCCCAGAACAGATGATATTTAAGATGCTGAAGTTAACAGCTAACGTCCTTAGAAAAGCTATAAATGCCTAGGGCCTCTGTCTTACTGACAGTTTTTGCTCTCATAGGTTGTAAAACAGGATTGGGTGTGTTTAAGACGTTTGTCCATCACACAGCCTTGGACGGCAGAAGACAACCATTCCACGCAGCATTTAGACCTCGTCGCTTAGTTTTAGTGTAACCTGACAGTGATAACTGATCTCCAGTTTTCGTTCTCCAGCTACAGGAATGGGTGTTTCTTTCTTTTTAAGGTCCATTAACATCATTTAAATATTCCCATCTAATTATTAATTCCTCACTAAGGAAGATTATAAATTCAGATTTTACAAACAAAAACAACAATTTAAAGGTATCTAATAGCTGGTGCTTCATCCCCTCTCTTCAATGCTGTCTCAAAGGTTTTTTGGCTATTAGTTTTCATAATTTTCTTATGTTGCACACAAAAATAAGATCCCCTCTCTAAAGTGCAGAGTATGGGGGAAAATACAGACACTGCCTACAAAAGAACAGATTGTCCAAACAAAAAAAAAAACCCAGCCCACTAAACTAGGTGCGACCAATCAGGCTTTGTAAGTGAAAAAAAAATCCTTGTTTTATTTAGCACAATAAAACTTATCACTGTACTGCCTCTGTGTTTGAACCTTACTTCTACTTAACCAAAATTTTTCCCTTCCTCATAATTTCTCTAGTAAGGTTATGTCTATTTGTAGATTCTGAAATATCTGCATTTTAATGCTCACAACCCATTTAAAAATTGCAAAAGCTCCCTATTTCATTTTCTGATTAAAAACGCAAAACAAGAAGGGGACAAACCAAACAGACAACACCACTTCATACAGATAATGACCCAAATGGAAAGGTTAATGTGCTGTAATGACATTCATCTTGCAACATCAAAAGCAGCAGAGACACTGAATATAATTTCCTTAAATCATAAATACTGAGATTGAAATATCCACATATGCACTGAGCAACAGACGTGCTCTGTGAAATAAAAGCTCTTGATAAATAAGTATCCATGAAGTGCAAAACAAGCAACTTCGGCCATGTGCTCTGGCATTCAGTACTCCCACTCGTCGGACTTCAGGTCGAGATAGCTGAGGATGTTCTGGGCCAGCTTCACAGCCTGCTTCCGGGCAGCCTTACACCGCTCCTCTCCCTGCGGGTCCACCGCGTCCAGGGCCAGCAGCTGCTTGGTGAGCAGCTCCTCCAGTCGTATGTAGTTCTTGTCAGTCCGATTTCCATCAAAAGAAAGAACTTCCCCCTGGATCTCCGACAAGTTTCCAAGGACATTCCAGACAGCTTTATGGGATGGGTGCTCCTCGCAAGCAAACAGCTTTCTTTTCTCAAGGGCCTCCTT